TTATCGCCTCCAGATGCTGCCGGACGGCCATCAACTGCAAATGACTGGGCCCACTCAATGCAGTCTCCTCCATTTGCTGGAAATCGGTGAGTCATTGTAACATCTGCAGGTAATCCAATCCCATATATTCTCTAACATCATGCGGTAAAGCTACAGGTAATCCATCAACCGGCAGCCCAGAAAGAACCTCCACGTCCTGAAGTGTGATGGTAGCCTCGCCGATGGGTAAATAAAATGTGTACGTCTCTGGTCGCCACCGCTATATCATAGCCGTGATCAACCCCCAGTAGAACTACAACCGGCCGATCTCTATGATCCTATAGAAACTCGTATCTTGAAAGCGTCTAACTATACATGGATGGAGTGGGTGGGCCCTAATGAACTCCCACATATCGTCTATCTGTCTAGCGCGGAATGTCTGGGACAAACACTGCCCCTCCCATATGTATGAAGACATATGCTCGGCCTGTAGCAACAATAGCTCTAGCGATGCAGGTTCGGGATGCACAGGCGGAACCACCATGACGACTACTGTAAATTGAGCAATATTAATTAAAGTATTTTTCTTTTTAATTGCATAACATCTTTAAATATATTGCAATATGTTTAATATTAAAATTTATTCTATATTTTAACTATATTGTTAACTAGGTTGATACATTTTCTATATTATAATTTTATATTTTATATGTTGGTTTATCATTTTATATGTTAGTTTATTATTTTATATGTTACTTTTACTATTTTATATGTTAGTTTACTATTTTATATGTTTGTTTATTATTTAATATGTTAGTTTCTTATTTTATATGTTTGTTTCTTATTTTATATGTTAGTTTCTTATTTTATATGTTAGTTTATTATTTTATATCTTAGTTTATTATTTTATATGCTTGTTTATTATTTTATATGCTTGTTTCTTATTTTATATGTTTGTTTGTTACTCACTTATTTTTTATTATAATAAAATTAAATAATTAATTTTTATAACTATACAAGATATAATTATTAAATATTTATTTAACAATACTTAGTTTGACAAATATTGTTGTTTTCTAATGTTATTTTCTTACATTTGTTGACTAGAATTCGAGAGAGTTTGTATTTGAACTATCAGCTTTTTTCAAATATTTTTGGGTTTAACGGATAATTAAATGATTAATTTCAATAACTATAAAGATACTACGCTACAGGGCACTACATTTTACTATGTTGAAAGGGAACTACATTACAAACACGAGCACTACATTAAAATTATGGGTACAACATAACATTACAGGGAACTAAACAACATTAAAGTCACATATTCATATATGTACAACAATAACATCTAAATAAGATTAATTATTCCTAAAATAATAATTTATCTATTTTACTAATCTTTTCGCACATAAATAATCTAATCCGGATAAAAATAATAAATTAATTTAATTACAAAATAATCACGAAAATACATATACCACAATAAAAAATAACTAATTAATATTTTTTATAACAACTAATAACAATTTCTCTATTTTACTAATTTTTTAAGCACCCTAATAATATAATCCGGATAAAAAATAACAAATTAATTAAATCACAAAACAATCACGAAATAACATAAAATACAATAAAAAATAACTAATAGGCATTTTTTTATACATGAGTTTTAACAAAAAATAAGTCGGAATACCTCGATTTTAACTTTTTGGAAAGTTGAAGATTTGGTGATTTGGAGCCGAAACGAGCAACCCACTATGAGATAACGCCTTACATACGATGTGGGACCGAGAATATACACTTTTTGTGAGACCGGTGGGCTCCAACCGACTTAAGAAGGCTAACTAGTTTGGTGGGGAAGGAGAAGGGCCGTTTATTTTTCTAGATATAGCGCGCATATGTACCGTGCTATACTATAGCGCGGTACATATGAGCGCTATACTTTTTCTCCCATTTAAGTTCAAATAAAGCGCGGTTAGTGACCACACTATACCTTAACGGACAAACGTGCCGTTAAGGTATAGCGCGGTGAATAACCGCGCTATACATATTATGGTGCCCAATCTTTTTTTCACATATTATGGTTCTTTGAGTCCAAAAGAACCACACTTTGATTCCGGACTCTCTGATATTAGGCTTTGCCTCATCCTCCGTAAATATACCTCATGGATCGGAGTAATTAACTCTTAGATTTTCGGGCATTGGATGTTCACCAATGTTTACGTTATTCAAGCTAACAATCTCATCCATCCACTTGCGTGTAGGCTATCCTAAAAGATTGAATGCTCCTCTATCGATTTTAGTTTACATTGAGAACTTGTTAATTGAATAATTGTAGTCCGATACACAAAGCATTTCGCATTCACGCAGGGTTCGGAGAAGTAACGCATCTCAAGGGATATGAGGTAGATAGCCTACTCTAATACAAACGTTCATGACTACTTCCACGGTTCGAACCTGTAATATATCTTGGAGAACTAGGTCAAAAGCTGCTGAAAGAAATAATTTATTTTTCCCCATGTTAGAGTTTTGACAGCAATTTTCATGAGATACAGAATCCTTTAGCAATTTCGAGCTTCCTTCACTGTTGAGTCCAATTGACTTGTCAATTCGATCGGGGGTAATACCTCCTTTATTTGTCTCTCTACTTCAAGATGCTAAATTAATTTTTGCCCTCAGCTTTTTTTAATAAAAAATCTTTAGAAGCATTCAAATAATGAGCCTAAAGAGGGCCTAGGTTCAATTTTGAGGTGAATTGATTCTACCTTAGCATCCCCCTTGTTTAATTGAAACCTTCGCAGAGGTTGACTAGTAACACTATTTATAGAAGGGAGAACTACACAAGCCTTCCCTAAGGTTTCCACTTCCTCTCCTTTTTCCTAGTCTTATATAACAAAAAATACAGTATGATATTATTAATAAAAATCCACACACAGGTGCTATGTCTATGTCTGGATCGGATGATTTATTAAACAAAAAGCAAAAAAGAAACACGCATGAAGGGTTCACTTGTTAATTATGTTACAACATATGAGTTTAGTCACGAAATGATGGAGCATAACGGAATTATGTGTTCCACTTTCAAGTCTACACACAAGGGAAGTGTGTTTAATTCCTTGCAGAAAGCTTATCGACACCTTGTATTTATATTCATCCTATGAATATATATAACATGTATCTTTTAAGCACACTCTTTCACTATATTATGATTACTTAGTACATATTGTTTTACATCATCAGTTTACTTTGATTATGAAGGGGCAACTCGGTGCATAAAGTATTTCATGTTCACACATAGTCGGGAGTGTTATGTAGGCAGTTTACACTGATATAAGCATCAATGGCTGATTCAACAGCTCGAACCCCTGACCTATATAGGTCACACGAACACAACTTAATCGTTGCTCGAAGGCTCCTCTTCCATCAATTAACTATGATAAATAGAATAATTTGATGCAAGCACCAGCCGGATAAGCATTCACTGCAATTCTCCTTATTTAATGTAAACTTAGTGCGGTAAGAATTTATTACGGCTCCATTTTGTATATAGTCAAAATATTTCATTAATGTTACACCAAAATGGTGTTATCTTTAGGAAATTAAAGTTATATATACTAGTACAAAGGTGCCTTTGGAAGGTCTTTAGTAGGGTCAGTGAGGTATTTATCCTCCTATAGTCCTATTACCATTTGGCATGTTCATGGGTTACAATCTCAAGCTTTACTATGAGAAAAGGCTGAACTCGGATACTTATGCTTATTATTGAAAAAGAGGTATATATGTTTTAATAAATTGACCATTTCCATGAGTTCGTTTTAACATAGTGCCAAAACAATGTACTCCTGAAAAATAATCAGGATTAGAAAATTTCCCTAAACGGGAAGGAGCAAACTTCTTAATCAAAGATAACTCAGAACTTTTTTTGTGGTGCATTAGGAATGAAAGTAACTCGGAAAATTTTGGCACATCATGGCGTTGAAAATGACAGATGATAGCTTTCTTCTTATATGGCCTTTTTGAGGATAAAAAAGAAGCAAAAGATAACAAATTGTTTTTGTTGATTCTCATATGCTCCTTTAGGTTTTGAGATGGAATCCAATGCTTATAATTAACCTGCTACTTTAAAGGTCAAAAGGCATCCTTTCTCTTGTCGAAATTAATCCAATACTCCTAACCCTTTGGGTTCATTTCTCTAGTGTGAACAGGAAATATAATATTTACATCTTTTTATATTTAACAACTCATCCACCAAACAAATAACCACTTAATTGAGCTGCAAGAAATCTACGTGAAATGCTGCATGGCATGCGGATGTTCACACCATATAATATTTTAGTATATTTGAGCAAAAATAGTGTGTATTAAACATACTTCGTAAAATATTTAGTGTGTAAAAACATTTCTCGTATAAAAAGAAATTTAGCAATAAGGTCATATATGGAGTATGTATTAAGTCAATATCTTTCTATACTCCTTTTAGGATTGGGCATTAGGATGGTATATTTGCCAAAGTAGTGGGGAGGGGGCATATAACATACCATGTGGATGTCACAATCTAGTTTATGTCCCTTTGTTGTTGCTTTAGCCCCACCCTCACCAACCAACCCATGCTTGTGTGCAGCCACTACATTAGCCCATTCTCCTTTTGACACACAAAAGATGTGCCAAAAGGACATCTTCCTCTTCCCAAAATAAGTTCATCAATTTTCATCCACACCAATCTTACCCCCTCTAAAGAAAAAGCTTTATTCTTCCAGCTAGCTAGCACCCTATCTTTTCTTCCTCATCATCATTCCACCACCAATTGCTTATCTTATATTCCATTCTTTTCTCTTTCATTTCAACTCATGAAAATTGCTAATTAGCACTAGCCATTATTGCAAAAAGACATTATTTAACGAAACCCTCTCCTAAGTCTTAGGAAACTAAAATATTGCATCAAATCTAGTGATCTCAAATTAAATACCCTATAACTTGGAAATTTCATATGAAAAGAACAAGTAGCATTGAAGTAGAAATTTAAAAGGAAAGAAAGAGAGAATAGTGTCTTATTAAGCTAATGTTCAAAATGTTACGCATAGAGCATGTAACATTTGATAAATCTCCAACCAGACGTCCTCAAATTCCTCACTCTTCCACACAAAATCAACAATACAAAGAGCTTAACAAAATAAATACACAAATAAGTAAATTATTTGTAATCTACAACAATATGAAAGCAAATTAAAATGACCAAATTAAATTTAGAACAAAAGTGCTACACTCCCAAGAATTGCTACCATAGCCATGCTACTAATTCCATGAACAAAACCATTAGACGGAGGAGGAGCCATTCCACCATTCATAGGTCCCGGTGCAGCTGGCTCTGATCCCACGGGTTCCATTCCGGGTGCCATAGGAGCTGGTGGTGCCATTGGTGGTGGTGACATGGTGGCCATTGGTGGTGGTGACATGGCGGCCATTGGTGGTGGTGACATGGCGGCCATTGGTGGAGGAGTGGTAGTCATTGGTGGCATTGCCATGGTAGATGGTGGCATTGTGGGGGCCATCATAGGAGATTGAGCAGCAGAAAGAGCTACAAATGTAAGGAAAAGGGAGAGAAAGATCATGGGACGTGAGAGAGCCATGACTACTGATGATGACTCTCTTAGGATTTGTTTCTTTTAAGAAATAGAGGAGAGAATTCTTGAACAAAGTGAACTCAAAGGTTGTCTTTGAGGAAGTTTGTATTGTGCAGGTGTATTGAAAGGTTTGAGAGCTACCTGATATATAGACAGGACATAGTAGAAAGACTTAATTTCTTGAATCTTTGTATAAATAACCGGTTAGATTCACTGTTTACTTTTGTAGCCGGTATATATAAATTATACACGATTATACATATAATATATACTAATTATATATATGTTATACATTAGCCTCTGATTTTTAGTTTAAGCAATTGGATAAATGGCTATTTAGGTTAATTATTATTTTTTATTAAGGCATCTTCTAATCATAACTCAGTGATCCGGCTACTTTAGATTCGCGTTGAATAAGTTTGGTAAATAAGTAAAATGCTTCTTACCAAAAAGTTGTTCATTCCCGAAACTCTTCTCCGCTCCCTCGCGGTAGGGGTAAAGTCTGCGTACACACTACTCTTTCTAAATTTCACTAGTGAGATTTTACTGAATTGTTGTTGTTGTCCGGAAACTCGAATTCGGGTGTTTTCGTTAAGGACAAAGGAATTCAACCATCTCACTACGCCTCTTAACGGTATAATAGAAATATTTATTACCTTTGGTTGCATGTATTATCTGTATATACTTAAAAAAAATACAAGGGTTTCATGCCCTACGCAAGAGGGTCCCAAGACTTTGGCTAGCTAGTGGTTGAGCACCTCATGTTTTTTCACAAGACCGTTGGAGCATATATGATCCAAATAGAATATCTAAATGGGAACAAATTCTGCCATAACAAATTTTGATTAGATTATTTATGATTGAATTAGGCATACTTCTGCGATACACTTACATTAAGGTCGTTATTTGTGTTAAGAGAGAGTTTGAAAATTTTGCCTACAATAGGAAAGATATATACTCTATTTATTATAAATTAAAATTATTTTAAAATATTATTTTCTATAGCTACCTTTTATATTTTATAACAAAATAAGTATTTATGGTATACACTAGCGTGAAATACTCTATTTATGTTTTTTCTCACTTTGTTTTAGTTAACACACGATTCTCTCTCAAAATCTCAACAAAAATTTTCTTCCTTCTCTCTCTCTCTCTCTCTCTCTCTCTCTCTCTCTCTCTCTCTCTNATTTTCTTCTCTCTCTCTCTCTCTCTCTCTCTCTCTCTCTCTCTCTCTCTCTCTCTCTCTCTTTGAACAAAATACATGCTTCTAATCGTGAATTCTCTGGCCGAATCCTCTTGGGTTACTGCAATTGAAAATACTTCTAAACTGTTTGGGAGAAAGAGGGAAAAGACGGACCTTTTCTTCAAAATCAGATTCCTCCATAGCAAGGAAGAGCTCGTCGCTCTGAGGCTAGGGCTACTGCGCGGGGAGCTAAAATGATGTCGGAAAATCCGAGTAGAGCATGGGTACTGTAACATGAACGATAGATATTGTAACATTGTTTACGCCGGAGAAGATTTGAGGGTCGAATTTTTATCCGTCTCCATTTTAGTTTTAATACAATGTATACAATATTTTGATTGGCCGGAAAACACCATCTCCGATGAACTTTCTTTGCTATTTAGTCACATACAATGATACAAATACATTGTATTATGTACAAATTTACTCAAATATATTGTATTATTTGTATAAATACATTATTTCTTCTCTTGTATAAGATCTGTATTTTTTTAATACATCCGAATATCACTATGTTTTATGATTTTTTGTTGTTTGAATACAGTCAAATTGAATACGGTGAATTGAATACAATGTATAATAGTGAATATATGTGAATTGAATATAATGTATACAGTCAAATTGAATAGAACGATATACACCCTATTTTCTTGATTTTTTGTTGTCTGAATACAACTGAATTCAATATAGTGAAATTGAATACAATTTAATATTGCGCTTTTCGTTATTAAACACCTGTAATCACTATTTTTAGGCTGATTACCTCACTGTATTTATAAATACATTCGCGCGAATATATAAAATACATAAATAAACATTTGTAATCCTTGTTTTTTACCTTAATGTATTTACAAATACAGTCGCACGAATACATGGAATACAACACGGTAGCAGCGAAATATTTTTAGAATTGATTTTGTTGAGTTAAATTAGGAGTGATATACGCTAATTGATCCTCTTTCCGTTATTAAAAAATTGGATTCCCCTATTTTTTAGGTGATTTTTCGCTATTGTATTTATGAATACAGTAGCACGAATACAGCGGATACAGACGCGCACGGCTGGACTTCCCTGTTTTTATGCAATTTTTGCTACTGTATTCATAAATACAGTAGCACGAATATAACAAATACAACCATGTAACAACTGAATAGTAGCTATAGGAAGTAATTATGTATATGATAGCTATAGAAAGTTTCTGAAAATTCCTCTTAAGAGTTTTTATAATCTATTTATAAGAATGTGTAATCAATAGAAATGGTAGAGAATCCCTAGTATTATAAAACTTCAAAGTTTTTGAATGCATGTTAAGAATGAAAAGTTTAAAATTAAATAGTCAGCTCTAATTAATAGTAATCGAACTGGTTAACATGTCAAGTGATATAGGATGAAAAGTGCATGTTTTGAGTGTATTTGTGTGTTATTTCTCACTGTGAATTGCGGGAGTTCACACAGCTTTTGAAGTGAAAATATGCTCATTACGTGTTTTTTATTTGTAGGAACAAACTTATTCGGATAGCGAAGTGAGCTTCGCTAGACCGGAACTAGAACAGAAGAAACCAGGAAAGTCCCGGACATCGAAGCGAGGTTCACTTCGCCAGACCGGGACCGGAGTAGAAAAAAATTAAATTTTCCAATCCAAAATAGGAGAAGGAAAGTACACCCCATACAAATCCTAGTCGCTATAAATACATCCTAAAACGTGATTTTGAAGCAAGAGACACCACCTTGGAGAGAGGGAATACTTTGTGGAGGCAAGAACACGCTTGGAGCAAGGAGAAGGATTCAACTTCACGTTGTTTCCTCTTTTTTCCTATTTTTTCCATTGTTATAAATTCTACTGTTGTATTTTTACATACTAGCATGAATAGCTAATTTCTTATCTAGGGTTTTGATCGAACCTTTTGGAGGATGAATTCTTGTTATGTTTTTATATAATTGAGTCGTTGGATTTCTCTACTTGTTTAACTATGTGTTTGTTGCTCTTGATTGAATGACCATCAATTGATTGTGCCTATTTAGTGTGTACTGCTCGAGAAAGAGTACGCATTTAGGTAGTTGTTGAACAACATCATTCCTAACGTATGTGAGAGATCAATACGGAGGGTTTAAAGGCGAGATTAGAGATAACAAAACCTTGGTGTGATCGTAGTGAGCGGTGAATTAGTGCCAGCTAAGATAGTTCGAGAGAATACGTCTAGTAAATTATGATAGTTGCTCGAGAGAGAGAGAGAGCTACAACACGCAAAGTACTCACAATCGGTAGAGAATACTTAGGCGAAATTATAGGAGACATAGCGGGGAGGATTCCGACAATTGGGAAAATCATAACTCTAGACCTCCTTAATCATGTCTCCAACCCTTAGTATAATTTGTTAGTCAATTAGTTAGACATAAGAATCTTAATATTTATAACTTAGGAATTGTTCTAGTTTGTTTTCTTAGTGATATTAAACAGTTGTAGCTAAGCCTTAGTTCTCTGTGGGATTCGACTCCGAACTTTTAGACCGGATTATATTTGCGGTGAAAGCTTATCCTTTTTAGGACTAGAGTTGGGTGTGATCAAATTTTGGCATCGTTGCCGGGGAACCAACGGTGTAGTTGTAGGCGTATATATTTCTAGGTTTCAAGTTTCAACTTTTATTTTGTTGTTTTAGTATTTGATTTTTTTTTAGTTTTACTTGTTTATTTGAGAAACATGGAATCTTGGAATTATAGGAGTTTCGATGTTAGTAATTCTACTATTGATCTTCCTAATGTTTATTGTGGAGAAAACCACATGTGGCAAAATTGTCAAAATATTTCCGAGAGCAAGTTATGTGCACCAACTCAATCTTACGTGTGGAATGTATGTGACATTTGTGGTGGTCAAGATGGTCACTTTTATGGTTGTGCTTGTATTTCTTATCCCCTTCCCCTCCTCCCCNCCCCAACCCCTTACTATGATGGTTCTACTTTCTCTTGTGAGGTTAACAGGAACAAAGAACCCGAGGAAGCTGACTAGAAGGAGATCATGGATATGTTTAAGTGCCTTGTGAAATAATATAATGAGAAACCACTACAAATAGAAAGGTAAGAGGTAACTATTCGAAATTTGGAGGCTCAAGTGAGTCAACTAGTTTAACCTTATAAAACACAATAAGCTGACATTGTGGATAGTAGCCAAGAAGAGGATGAATTAGTGGCATAAATTGACATTATAATGGAGGAGTTGAGAGAAGAATACGACCAAACCAACCAACTAGAATTTGATGATGTCGATATTGAAGAAATAGTATTGGAGTCAATTGAGGACCTTACCGATGCAATTTTAATTGATTCTAGTTTGTGGCAAGAAAATGAGGTCGATAACAAGTTGAATTTTCAATTTGAGCTCATTGGTCCTCACTCCAAGTATTTTTCGACATTATGTTCTGAAGAAGATATGGAAATTGATCTGTATGAGCCAATGCAAGAGTTAAAGGAAAAGGTAAATGAGCCATATATTCTGAAATTTTCAAAGCCGTCTAGGCAAAATGACACTCCTCGGTTGAAAGTCAAAAAGTACATAAAGAATTATTTAATTTTTGGCTCGCAATAATTTATATCGCCCCAAGAGCATGATCATAGAGCAGTATCAAAACTTGGGGTCCAATTTATAAGTTCGAAGTGGAGGCAGAAAGTGATTCACGTCGTATCGCGACATTAAATCAAGCACTTGTTGGGAGGCAACCCAACTTTACTGCTTTTTTTTTTCTTTTTTTTTAAATTATTATATTATTTTTGTAGTGTTGTTTTTTATTTCTCTAGGAGCATGGAAAGCAAGGCTATTGGAAGAAAGCAAAAGCAAATGAGATAGTTAGAACTAAGTGTGGGATGCCCGCACAAAGAACCAAGTATGTGAGAAGTCTGAGTACCCCA